GTGGCGCCATGCAGTCCATGGAGCGCCTGCGGAGCCTGCTCGGCTCCCTCAACCAGCAGGAGCGGGAGCAGCGGGACCTGCGCTTCCGGCCCCAGCCCCCCGTGAGTGGCCCCCAACACTGGGCTGGGGAGTTGGGGGGGGGAGGCCCCGTGGAGGGGACAGTTTATGGGTTGGTGGTTGGGCTCGATGATCTTAGAGGTCTTTTCCAACCTTAGTGGTTCTGGGAGTCTGTGATGTGTGGGGGTGGCACTCTGTAGGGGTGATGTCCTATGGGGGTGAGACCCTGTGGGGGTGACACCCTAAGTGGGGTGCATTTTATGGGGGCTGGTGTCCCGTGGGGGTGATTCTCTATAGGCGTGACACCCTCGGGGGGTGAAATCCCATTGGGGTGATGCTTTATGGGGGTGATGCTCAATGGGGGGTGACACTTTATAGGGTTGATGGTTATAGGGGAGTGACACTTTGTGGGTGTGATGTCCTGTGGAGGTGACTCACTATGGGCATGACACTCTAGGGGAGGTGATGGTCTGTGGGGGTGACACTCTATGGGGGTGATGCCCTGTGGGGGTGATGCCCTGTGGGGGTGATCCCAGGCAGAGGCATCATGGGCAGCTCGAGGGTGATGGGTCCTGCCAGTGGGAACAGGACCCCCAGCCCTGGGACCAAGGCAAGTGCTGCTGCCATGGGCTGGTAGATGTGTCCTGCAGAAGGGCTCAGGGCAGCAGTGAGCCCAGCTGGGCTCTCAGAGCCTGCATAGAGGGGCCACTTGCAGCCTCTCCCTATGGATGCACCTTTCCTTGCACACGGATGCAGTGGGGGCTGCACAATCCGGGGCTGGATGCTGCACGGGGCACAGCACATGCACTTGGGCTTCAGAGGGGGAATAAAGGCAAAAGCAAGGTTAAAAAAATCCATAAAACTAAATAAAAATAATTTTACATAGTAAGTTAAAATGGAATGACAGAAATTACATAAAACAGAAAATTAAATTACTCCCCTTCCCAGCCACAAACTCACACCCTACTGAGTTCTCTCTCCAAAGTGACACAACCCGCAGCCTCCAGCCCCCTGGGGGGGTCTCCACCTGCTGCTTTCCACAACACCCCACAGGTCTCTGTGCTCCTGGGAGCAAACTCTGCTGTCCCTGCCCCTTCCCTGGCCCCCCCATCCCATGGTTGGTGCCATCACACACCAGGACATGGGGACAGTGGGAGTGTTGCAGTGCGCCCGGGCAGGGGACAAAAGGGCCACCTCCTGTTTCTGGGGCACATGGATGCTGGCAGCAGGGGTGTCTTGCCACAGCCCTGAGCAGAGGTGCTGCCAACCAGATTTGGGTGGTTTAACCAGGTTTGGGGGAGATATTTTTATCTGCCCTCTGCTGTCTGTGGGGATGTCTGGGCATGCAGGTCTCTGGGGCTCTGAGGCTGTGTCTGTCAAAGTGTACAGATTACTACAGCTGCAGGGACAGCTGTGGGGAGAGGTGATACAGATTAGATAGATATAGATTATATAGTTAGATGCACATATACATCTTTTTTTGTATATTATATATATTTCTTTTTATCGATCTATGTAGATGTCTATTAATCTATTTATCTATCTATATCTATATCTATATCTATATCTATATCTATATCTATATCTATATCTATATCTATATCTATATCTATATCTATATCTATCATCTATCATCTATCATCTATATCTGTATCTATTTACAAGGTCATGGAGGGACTTGGGACAAGGGGAGATGGTTTCAGGCTGGAGGAGGGAGATTGAGGTTGGACATGAGGAAGAAATTCTTTGCTGTGAGGGTGGTGAGAGCCTGGCCCAGGCTGCCCAGGGAAGCTGTGGCTGCCCCATCCCTGGCAGTGTTGAAGGGCAGGTTGGATGGGGCTTGGAGCAACCTGGGCTGGTGGGAGGTGTCCCTGCCCATGCAGGGGGCTGAATCTACATGATCTTTAAGGTCACTTCCAACTCAAACCATTCCATGATTCTCTATTGGTACTGATGATACAGATTAAATAGATAGATGTGGATGTAGAAGTAGATTGTATGGATATGGATGTGGATAAGGATATGGATATAGAAGGACTTTAAAATAGGCACAGAAAAGTGAGATTCACTGAAATCCATTTCCTTTCAGCCTAAGAGATTCAAGGACCAGATACTCAGGTGACCCAACACTTAGAGCCGAAGAAAGGACTCAAAAAGCTTTTTGGGTCCAGCCTACACAGACTTGGGACTTCCTATTGTTAACTTGATGTAACCACTTGGGTTTGATTGGAGTGGACTCATTGGCTGCCCCTGCAAACATGCCCAAAACCACGCAGAGCTGTTCCCATGTCACTGCTGCTCTGAGCCATCCCTTCTCCCAGGCATAGCCAGGGGTTAGGAGTTCATGTATTGACTGCAAAACCCAATATTTTTTTTTGGAAAAAAATCGTATCTGCAAGAATTTCTGACTGTAGTGGGAAATAAATCCAAGTGTTAATTAATTATCCTGTGTTGCTGCAAACTTGTAAACCCAACATGCCATTTCTAGGCTGCTACAAAAGGTTGGGTGCTTGGGTCTGCTGCTATAAATAATATTTTGGGTTCAACCTGGGCCAACATCTACTTCTAGATGAAGACACACACACATGCTAAGTCAGATCTTTGCTGAGTAATGCTCTCATTTTTCAGGCTGCCAGCTCTTTTCTCTAAAATAGTCATTCAGCCCCAAATCCACACATCAGACTGCCAGGAGATCTTCCCCAGAAATCCCCTCAGGATGGCCTGAGGGGGTCCAGCCCATGTTTCAGTTTGTATGAGCCTGGTTAGGTGATTTTCAGTGAAAAATCTGTTTTGCCCAAAGACATGAGTCCATCTCCAGCCCTTTCTCATAGGTGAAAAGACATATTTTTTACCTGCAGTGGGCAGATTGTGCTGTTTCTCCTGTGTCCAGAACTCAAAAAAGAGGGGTTTTTTCAGCCTTTATTGGTAACTAAGTGTCTTGGCCCCAATGGGTCCTGGAGACCCTGAACTCTGTTGGCTCCTCTGGCTGATTTGCAGGTGGGGAGGGATGTGCCCACCTCAGCAAGGACATTGTGCTGCTGTGATGGGACACCCAAGGGGGGGATTTTAGGGTGCCTGGTGGGGTTTGGCTGGGGTGGGAGGGTTGGAGGAGGTGAGACCCAGGATGGACATCTTGGCTCCTTGCAGGTGACCAGTGAGTGTGGGTCTGGCAGCTCATCCTGCAGCCCCGAGTGGAGCAGCCAGCTGGAGTTTGGCACCAATCCCACGGGTAAGATGTTCTCCACCTCACCCCAGGGTCCTGCAGCCTTGCTGGGCTTTGAGGGGGGCAGCAGTGGGGGACACCAGAGCCTTGGGGCAGAGAGTCGCTGAGCCAACCCCTTCCCCAAGCAGGAGATCCTTGGAGCAGAGACAAAAGGAGCCTTGTCCTCTCTGCCCCCCTGCTGATGCAGAGTTGGGCTTCCCCAGGCTCATAAATCCTCCTGCATCGCCTTGGCTGGATGCTCAGTGGGTTCAGGCTTCTCCCACTGCCTGATTTCCTGGAGGCACCTGCTCCTGGAGCTGAGAAGCTGGATTGCAACAACCCAGAGCCTTGGCAGCTTGGTCCCCATCAAGGGTTCATCTGTCACCATCCCTTGGGTGGCTTTGCTCGCCCTGGTGCTGAGAATGGCTGTCCTGGGCTCCTGTCCCTCCCCACATCCCCTCTGCAGCTGCTGATTTTCTTCCATTATTGCAGTTATTCCCCCTGCCCTTCCCCAAATCCACCTGTTTCGTTTGCCCAGAAGGCAGAAACTTCTCATTTTCCAATGAGGAATAAAACCTAAGAAGTGTCCAAAAGCTTCACTTCCCTCTTGCCCTCTCCAGGGGAAAGTCTCACCCGATCCCCCTGGGTGGGCTCTGGGAGCTGGTCCCTCTGCCCACGGGGGGATTGCGTGGAGCCAGGAGCCATCCCCAGCATGTAGCCATTGTCCCCAGCAGTGTCACTGTCCCCTTGCTCTCCTCAGACCACCTCCTGGCTGACGAGGCAGCCGAGGACCGCAACCTCCACTCGCTCTCCTCCATCGTGGAGAGCATCGCCGCGGAGGACGTGACGTTCCAGGAGCAGCGGGTCCAAAACTGAGCCAGCGCAAACCCCGGCGGCTCCTGGAGCTGCTCACAGGGTGGGAATAAGATGCTGGAAGGGCCCAGCCACTGGAAATTATATTTACCCCTCCAGTGTCATGGACTGCACTGCTGAAATCACTCACCTCCTGTCCCCCTCCCCGCCAGCCCTCCTGCCCAGCCAGCTGAGAAGCACGGGGAGCGGTGGGACGTGGGCAGCAGCTCCCAGTGCCAGGCTCTGCTTCCCTCCCTGCCCGGGATGGTCGGGTTTTTTTGGGGCCAATGTGTGTGCTGGCTTGGCTTGCTGATGTTTTTTCCAAGATGCTCTTTGACCAAGGTCTCTCTCCAGCTGGTGTCCCTGGGGTGCTGAGCCCTGCGGGCGCTGCCTGCGCCGGCTCTGCCACCCAGCGCCGTGTGGAGCTGCCATCTGGGGTGGTTCTTTAATTATTATTTTTGCTAACTTATTTGGATTTTGTTGGTTTTTTTTTAAATAAAGGCATTCTTGTTTGAACTGCTTGGATCTTCCTTTACTGCTTTACTACTTCTTTTCCTGTCCCCCTTTTCTTAGGTATCCCCTAATTCCGACATGGAGGTCTGGGGAGACCTCACAGTGGCCTTCAAGTGCCTGAAGGGGCTCCAGGAAAGCTGGGGAGGGACTTGGGACAAGGGCAGGGAGGAATGGGATGAGGGGGAATGACTTTAAACTGGAAGAGGGGAGATTGAAGTTACACATGAGGAGGAAATTCTTCACTATAAGGGTGATGAGAGCCTGGCCCAGATTGCCCAGGGAAGCTGTGGCTGCCCCATCCCTGGCAGTGTTGAAGGGCAGGTTGGATGGGGCTTGGAGCAGCCTGGGCTGGTGGGAGGTGTCCCTGCCCATGCAGGGACCAGTGAGGTTCAGCTCTGTACTCCAAAAACTCTTGGGGGAGCTAAAGATTCATGATATTTTTAATCTGGGCTCTTGAAAGAAGGCTCAAGCCAGCACTTGTTTTAAAATCCTGTTTATTGGAACACACATACATCCTTTCCTGACCCGATCCAGGGTTTGGAGTCCATGCAGTACCAATAATATGACAAAAGAAACAGGGCATCGATATAAAGGGCTCACTGACTCTTCAAATTAAAAAAATATTTAATACTGTATTAGGCAAATAATACACCGAAAAGACATGGTGACTGTAGAGCCTCTCAGATATTGCACTTCCAGACAGCACATGATAAGTATAAGGTCATTCCAGCCATCAATAAATATTACATCAGAAACAGGGGCCACACAAGGCAAATGTGGCATGAGGAGACAAAGAGATCCTACCCTACAGGGGAGATGGGAAGAGTTAAGAGCCTCCTGGATTAATCCCTGCCCGTAGCCTGGAGGCAGGAGGGGAGAACATCTCCTCAGCACCCAGAGGGGATGGGATGGGCACTTCCCGGGGCGGTGGGTGCCCCTGTCGTGTCTCCCCAGGCACCCAAGGAGGGTCCCCTCTCCTGTGGGTGCTGGTCCTGATGGGGCAGCCTAGCTTTTGCCCACGCAGCCTGTTGTGGCCATGCCCTGCAGGCACAGCCTCCCTGCTCCGTGGTGTCTGGCAGCACCCCAAAACGCAGCACCCTGCCCGCCCGCCCCTTGGCACACAGTCACCCTCCTTGCCCCCCCAAAATGGTCCCTGCTCCAGCCCCTGCAGTGCCCAACTCTGGCAGTGGCCCCGGGGGGGGCAGCTCCTTGCCCGGCGTGAGGATTTTCACGAGCCTGAATCTTCCTTGGCTTCAAGTCCCGTGGGCAGCACCATCCCTGGCAGCCGGGGCTCGGGCGAGTCAGTGCAGCAGCCCCATGGCCTGTTGGCAACGTGAACCAGGCAGCAGGAAGGGTTCCAAATATCATGGCCCATTTTTTGGGGGTGTCTCTGTGACCCCGGCCAGGTTGCACCACCCGTGGGCCAGTGGTGGAGGGGACACCCAGCCAGCGTGTCCACAGCCCAGCCAGCCTGGGGAGAGGTGGGGGGACAAGCCACAGGGAGCTGGGGGGAGCAGTGGGGTGCACAAGCAGAAGGGAGAACATCCTTTTGGGTCCCCAGCAGCGAGGCTGCAGTGTCTGTTGGCTTGGGCTGAGGAACAGGCGTGGGCTGGGCTCTGGTCCTGCAAGGCAGCCAGCACGTGGCCACGTGGAGAGTGGAGATGTGCTGAGGAACGAAGTGGGAAAGGCCCCGTGAGGCCAGCAGGTCACCTCCACCCCTGCACCAACAACACCCCTGCACAGGCCAACAAACCCAGACGGAGTCATAGTGAATCCTCCTGGCACAGGAGAACCATGCCCCAGGGTACAGCAGGACTGCAGGAGCCTCTCTGAAGTGCTTGGCTATCATTCCCTCATCCCACTGGGATCTAGGATGGGATCCCCAGTGGAGCTGTCTGCCCAGGGACTGGACAAACCACACATGGTTGGGATGCTGAGCATCCCTTCTGCATCATGGCAAAGTCCTGTGAGCCTAAGGCAGCAGTGGGCTGTTCCCCCACCACCAGGGTCCCCATTGTCCTCCATGGCAAGCCTTGGTGAAGGCAGATACCCTGCCTGGGTGATGCTGGGCAGAGGATTCTGGGCCTTCTGCTCTCCTCTCAGCCACCATCCAGCTCTGAGGCCTTGGTCCTCCTCACACTTACCCAGGGCTTCCTGGTTCCTGTCACGCTGACCCTCAGCAGGAGTATGTCCGGACCGTGGAGGTTTCCAGCCTTGGAGACCCAGAGGCACCAACTAGGAGTCAAAGAGCAGAGCCTGCAATTAGTGACTGCTCCAATTAGTCCTGGGCTCCCCACCAAAACATCTAGAGGCAGCATCTGGGCACTGAAGCCACATGAAGATGAAGGTCAAAGGAAGAGGCACCAGCTCCCCACCAGATCCCCAGCACTGGGGATGTGGCAGGTGGCTTGGGACAGAGGGACTAGGCTGCTTGATCCAGGGCACAAACAAAGGTGACCTGGCTGGAGCTTGTGCCTCTGTACAGCTTTGGAAGGGACCAAGATGTCTTGTAGAAAGGAGTTGTGTGGTGGTGGGGCAGGGCCTGGGACATGTGTGCCCAGTTAAAACACAGGACAGCCAGGTCAACCACATCCAAGCAGGTCCCCGCCAGCCCCAGGAATTCTCAGCAGCACTTGGGCTGAATTGAGCTGGTTCACCCAGTCCCTTCGGGGAAGGTTTCCAAACATCAGGATGGTCCAGACTGGCCCAGATGGAGCTGCTGCTTCCTGACAGCCCCAGGGCCACCCAACAGGCTCTGACCTGGATGCCAAGCCCAGGGTGAGCGACGCAAAATTCCAATCCACACCCTGGCCCAGCCCTCTCCCTCCTCCTGGTGGTTCAAAACAAAGAAATCTCACCCCAGAGCAGAGCCTGAAACGACCTTCCTGATAAAAAAACCCACCCATTTCCAGCAAAGAAACAGCTCAAGGGTCCCCAGGGTCCAGCATCGCAGGCGACCAGCCGGGCTCCCTCCCTCCCCGCTCCCGGTGGCACATCCTTCCCCACGCTCACCAGGAGCTTTGAGCAGGGGTAGGAGAAGGGGTGACCCACCTTCCGGGGGCATTTTCTTGGCAGGGGCGGTGGGAGGGGGCAGGGGCAGGAGGCTGGTGACACGGAAGCCGGCGGGGAGGGTCTCAAAAAAAGGCGCGGGTTGATGCTGTGAACGTCGCGGGGGCGGAAGCGCTTCCGCCAGGACGGGGTGCGACGGAAGGTCTTGTCATCACCCTGGGAGGGGAGAGCAGGTTATGGATATGCAGTCATCCTCGTAGAGTCGTCAGGCTTGGAAGGGACCTCTGGAGATCATCCAGTCCAACCCCCCTGCTGGAGCAGGATCCCCTAGAGCAGATCCCACAGGAACAGGTCCAGGTGCGTCTGGGATGTCTCCAGGGATGGAGACTCCAGCACCTCCCTGGGCAGCCTGTCCCAGGGCTCTGCCACCCTCACACTAAAGAAGTTTTTTCTCATGTTTATCTTGACTCTCCTGTGCTCCAGTTTGTGCCCATTGCCCCTTGTCCTGTCACTGGGCACTGCTGGGAAGAGTCTGGCCCCATCCTGCTGACACCCCTAGAGATATTGAGGAGGGTTGATGAGATCCCCTCTCAGTCTCCTCCTCTCCAGCTGAACAGCCCCAGCTCTCGTGTCAGCAGGACCTTCTGCCCTGTGAGGTACCAGCACTGCTGCCAGCTAACAAGGGTGGGCCTGTACCTGGAAACCAACTCAAACCATGTAGAAATGTGTGACCAAATTGGACCAAGGTCACAGAAGAACTCTCCATGATCCCATGACATAGGCTTTGTCCTTCCCAGCTTACCTATGTCTTCTCTCCAGCCTTCCTGCAAAGATGCCTTGGAGACATCAACACACAAAGCCTAGGAAAGACCCCAAGGGTTGGATCTAGTCTTGGTGAGATAATGGCATCTGGAAGGGCACACCTCTCTGTGCTCTGAAGAGCCCTGACTGGCTCTGTCAGTCTTCTCATGGAGAAGACCCAACCAGAGGAGGGATCTACACGAATGACCACCCTCTGTGACTCAACATTACCAGTTTTCTGGCTGCTTAACAAGGCACGTCTCACCCACCAGCTTTATCCACTGCAGACGTGTCATGCCCAAAACATCCATGACTCCAAAAGCCCAAGTAAGGCAGGTGAACCCACTTGAAACTGAGCCCACTGAGCACGAGACTAGAAATGATGCACAAGACCCTTCCTCACCTGCCTACACAGCCTGGAAGCACCTTTCTGAGGGCTTTGACTAATAGTTTTAGCTTATTCCACTGCTCCTGCTCATGTGGCTGCTCTGGACAGTCTGTGACACACTGTTTGACACCCCTGGACAAGTAGGCAGAGAGCAGAGGTCCTGTCTCTCCTGTTTCTCCCCCAAGAGCAAGAGGTCAGCATGATGTGGACATGGGAGAGGTCTGGTACTCACATCATCCAACCTCCGATCTGTGCCCAGGGCCAGCAGGTTGTTGAACTCCCTCTCCAGCACTTGTCGAGCCTGAAATTCACAACAAATCAGCGTTCCCTGTCGATGGAAACAGTTTCCAGCCCAAACTCCCATCCCAGAAAACCCCAAGAATGACAGTGAAGAAGCCCAGGTGCCACCTAAGCACTCTGCTCCGACGGGCAGAGCTGAGCTGGTGGCACTGCAGGAGTCACTCACTGCCCTGTCCCACACTGGCCACCCTCCTCCCAAGCCCCTCAGAGATGCTGCTCTCACCTGCGTGTTCTGCGTGGGGATTTGCAGGACCAGGGCCAGGCTGTTGTGGTCGAAGTTCTCGTCGAGGGCCAGGAGGGCCCCGTGCACCCCGCTCTCCACCAGGTTGTTCCCGTACTCGCGGAGCCCGATGGACTGGATCCAGTGGATCACCTGGTCGTTGGTCCACACTAGGACGTCTGTAAAAGAGAGAGGGGTTGTCTCAGGGCCAGCTCAGACCACGCTTTTGGTTGTGTGGGGACCTGATGATGTCCTGAAGCCCCTTGGCATCTCCCCAGGCTGATGCTGGGGCTCTCCTCCTGGATTCAGCAGCAGTGTCAGATGCTCGGCTGCCAGGACCTGCTCACTGCAATTTACCAGACTAAACGATGAAATAACAGGCAGGAGACAACTGTGAAAATTAATCCTCAGCACCCACGGCTGCTGATGTAATTAGGGGCATTATCAATAATGAGATGTAAGCAGCTGCCAGACGTGCCAGGAATCTCAGGACAGCCAAGGACAGGGAGGCTGAGCAAGCTGAGGGTCGTCCTGAGCATCTGAAATGGGCAGGAGAAGATGTTCTGATGCTTGGACTGGACCTTTTCTGTCTTGGCAGCCTTTCTCCCTGCTCATGTCTGGCTGGGATAGGCTGCACAAAGGCCCTTGGAGAAACCTGTTGGGGAAACACCACCGGGAGGTCCCCCTGGAGCACAGAACCATGGACATGGTTGCTCAGAAAGGAGGATTTTCCCCAGGTAAAGGCTGTGTTGAAAATAAGGGTTAGACACCATTGCTGGGCATCTCCTGGGAGGTTTCCCATGTTTTCCAGAGCTGGGTTGTGTCAGTGCCTGCTGACCTTTGATTTCATGTTGGGTCTCTTCTCGCCTCCTCTCGAGCTCTTTGCGGTCGTAGTTGAGCCTCTTCAGGCACATGATGCCATATTGCAGGCTGGTGCTGCAAGGACAGGAGACCATTAAATCCCAGACTGGTTTGGGTTGGAAGGGACCTTAATGATCATCTAGTTCCAAGTCCCTGCCATGGGCAGGGACACCTCCCACCAGACCAGCTTGCTCACATCACCCAACCCTCAGGAGGTCTCTGCATGGTGGGGCTTGGAGGGACTTGCTTCCCTGCTTGCTGTCCATCTGCCCAAAGGATGCTTTGGATCATGATTGGGTCAGGACAGACACAACCTACAGGAAAGATCTTAGCTGGAAAAAGAGGAATGTCCTTCCTTTCCATGGGAATTCCACAGTCCATCAGTTTTGCCCTATTCTACCTGCCTGAGATCCAAATAACACTGCTCAGTGGCTGGAGAGGGAAGGGAGAACCAGCCTGTGGGGGCTGCTCCAGGCTGAAGGGTTCATCTCCAGAGCAGGGAGGGTCCTGCCAGGCCCATGGACACAGTCCTGTGGGTTGGGGAGGATTCTGAGAACCCATGACAGGGCTGGACATGGTTGGGCTGCTGACAGATGACTGCTCTGCCCTCCAGTGGGGTACACTTGTCCCCCAGGTGGGACAAGCCTTGATCTTACCCATGGCTTGCTCCACAGCCTGGAGAAGGCTTGGTCCTCTGCAATTTTGCTACAAGGACCATGATGAAGGACATTTGCCCATATGAGCTGCCCCAGACCAGGTGGTTGAGTTTAGCCTGGAAGAGCCATCCTCCAGCACCAGGGCTGGCCAAGACAGGGCAGCGCCCCTCAGATCGTTCCATCCTCTGCTCCATGTGCAGACACTGCACCCCAGGGACCTCCTGGAGGAGAAGACTCACCGGTGGAAGCTGTCCACCATCTTCAAGTGCAATCTGA